GAGAGCATGTTACGTGTGAATTGAGTTATAACACCATAATAACATCGTATAAATGAGAAAGCAAAATGATTGGTTAGCTTATATAGATTAAAGCCATTATACTTTTCCCATATGATTAATGATAACAAAACAGATATCGAACAATTTACGATTTTCAAAATAATCTTCCAAGAAAGCAAAAGTCGATAATACCTTTTAGCTTTACACTTGCGATGCCATGATATGTGAATCTATCTGATATACTCAAAGCTACAAGGGTAGGAGGGAATGATACTCAAAGAATAGTATGATTCTTATGAGGTAAAGAATGTTTGTTAGAGAGAAGCATGCGTATAAGTATATCGAAGTCGATTCCAGCGATAATAGAACTGGTACTTAAATTACTCAATTGTCATGTTTTCTAAATATCTAAATATCAAGGAGCAGCTATATACCACAAACAAGGAGTTTACAGTACTGGTAAACAAAAAATTTTTCTACTAAAAATACATATGGCCCAGCTCTCAGAATCGCTTTGCGCCTTACCTTCGCAGAACTTTGATTTCATTCTCTAACGAATCTTCCTTGCCCTTTAGTGCCTTTTTGTCGATGATCTTTACAGCAAACATTTGACCCGGCTTCTCTTTGCTTTCCGCCAATCTCACTTCAGAGAATGCTCCCCTAAACAGAGGAAAATACAATATTTTAGCATAATAGGTGTAAAGTAAATTTGCTTACAATTAGAGACCCTATATGTGTGTTGTATTTTTGAGGTAGTATTATTCATTTATGGCATTAAACTGTAGTTTGTTTTCTTTAAACGTATACAAACATATAGTTTTAGTCAGTTATAAACTGGCCTTTACATACACGTGCAGCAAATAATAAATTCTGACACAAATGCCATGAAATATATGTCTAAGCGTTACTGCAGATGTATTTTGAAAAGTATACGGAATGCATCCAAAAAAAGTATATCTAAAAAAATTAGAAAAAACATTTTGCTGACATTTTATATTTTCACGTTTTTTTCAATAAACGAGTGTTTCAGAAACATGAATAAATAAAATATGATTTTATAATTTCAACACTGTTTGTGAGCATCTTAATAAAAAATAATCTATCTTTATAAATAAATATACAAGTTAAACCTTCCTCTTTAGAAAACAAGCTCTTACAAAAATATTGTTACAACTAAATAACAAAAAATAAGATTCAATAATTTTTAACCTTTTTTTATTTTTATATTTTTACAATTAAAAAAAATATTCGATTATATTAATTTCAATTTAAATAAATCAATATATTCATCTAAAAATTTACGAAAATTATAGTAGCGTTATGTGTACATGACATAAAAACTGGACGTTCGATGTTCTCAATTCAATATTAAATGTTCGTTATATTGCAATGTATTGCCAAACTATTATATAAATGGCACGATAATTGACAAATAGTATTGATAGATTTCATTATAGAAATATATGTATATCAACGATTCTAGCGTTCTAAACATTTTTTGAAAAAATACAGATATAGATAACGCTCAATGTATACAAAACAAGGAAGAAAACTTGATGGTATTCAGCGCACTTGTCCAAATTGATCTCAATCTCAGTCAACAATCTTAAGTATTTAGTTGAAAAGCTCTGCAACAGAATGGAATTGTAATTTTATTCTTTTAGCTACAAGAAAAAAAGATTGGAAAAATTAAGAAACACATAAAACAATATGTATAATAATGATGAGGTAAGAGATATATAAATTTTTGTTGTGAGGGCTTTTAAGAGCTCGTAAATCCGATGCGCGCGATGTAACACTAAGATAGAAATTCCAGCTGATGACACGTTTAAGAAAGCAATTTCAAAGTGTCGTTATGGACGCACATACATTAGATTTTAATGCGATTTAATGCATACTAAGCGTTATTCGAAAACATCTTTCATAAGCGATATCGCAAAAGAAAGAAAAATACGCAAAAATCGTTGGTCACAGGAAAAAGCAATTCGTGATTCGCAAAAGAAAGTTATGACGTATTAGTGAATTCATTGATACGAAAAAAAAAGAAGAGATTAAATCGCGAACACTGCCATTTAGCACGCGCCTCGAAACTGGAAGACGCGTGTCGAAGGCCAAGGCATACGTCTATTGTAGAATGTCCAAAAGTCACCGGATGTCTTTTCAACCGTCGGTTCTTTAGTCAATTTAAGATCAATTTCTCTTTGACAAAAACGTTGAAAATATCAATCAATTTTCAGTATTGGTATTCTGATTTTTTTTACAAGATCGTCTGCAATGGAGCGTTAGGTGAAAGTTCTATAAAAATAAAAGCCTCTCAAGATCATATACACAGAAAAATACATACTGTACGCAAATGTTAATTGTTTCAAGTATTTCAAAAATTCACACATCTGCAAATCTGTTATAAGTTCGACAAGTTCACAAACACTTTATTCAAAATATATTGTGAAAATCCTAATTTACATTATTTCAATCAAGATTATTAAATTAAAACAAAATCGATTTGCTTATTATATAAAGTTGCTTCTTCACTCAATTTTATAATATTCTTCAAAAAAAAATAAATTCTTGTTTTGAGTACACATTAATAAGTTTTTCTAAATTTGTAATAAGTATATTTTAAGATAATTATCAAAGAAAATATTCTTTATCAAATAAACTTTTAAAAGAAAAAAAAGTAAATTGAGTAACCTTTTCTTAGCAATAGAATAATATTTTTCTATATATGTGTAGCAATAAAATAAGATTTTCTCATTAATCCTCTTTTTTTTTCGTGAAGCTCGACTTCACGAGAAACTCTTCGTCTTGAATCATTAATTCTATTTAAGAAAAAGCTATTGAAACCTGACGTTTTCATTTAGAAATCAATTTCCGAATCGCGATCGAAAAAGCTGCGGTTAAAGGAACACGCGACAACCTACAGGGACATCCCGTATTCATATATGTCACACGAATTTCGTCGGATTTAGGACGGGCGAGAGATCATCCTGGGAATCCTGAGATATCACACGAGATGCATGTTCACATCACGTTTCTGCAACCGAAAAGAAATGTATGCGCGCAGGAACGAGGAAAGAATAATATCGCGCGTGGTTTTCAAACGACGCTCTCATTTTTATTACCAAACAGGTTTGCCTATGGTCGTACATTTGCAAATTAGAACCGGTCTATATCTCTCTCCTTGAATTATGCTGATAGTTATTCATGCTCTTCGACATGGGAAGTTGTTTTGTGTGTACATTTTAAATTTCTTAATTTGGACTGACTCTCTAAAAAGCAAAAATTTATTTTTGAAAAAAGTAAGATTTTACTTTCCTTTTTATAACGCTGTATTCTCTAAATTCTTTGGAGTAAATCTCATTCAAAGGCCAGTCCATAGATCGTTCTTATTTTAAAATCATCTTAAATAATGTCTTAAAATGCAAATCACGGATCTTATGACTTATCTCAAGACTTAAGATCGTTTTAAATATAAGAACTGACTATGAATACCGACCTTCTCGAATGAGATACATTCCAAAGAATTTAGAGTACAGTGTTATAAAAAAAAATGTGAATGTGTACATTCTTCCGTCCCCTTTAGCCGCAGTTACATAACTGTTCTCATCAGTTCTCATAAGCAATCTGTTACACAGAGGAATCCGGGATGTCACGCATACGCGTGGCAAGCCACGAAAGTGTTAAAGCTAACGCTTAATCGATCTTGCAAAAGATATAACGCGCAGATATACATTTCGCCTTCCCTTATCGTGCAATCCGCTATGTTATCATCCAAACAAATGCAGAAACGTAATAAAGTAGAAATAACATTATATAACTTGGATTTTCATCGACGAAAGAGAATTTATCATAAATGTGTACAATATACGCATACATGAGAGCAGATAGGCGTTTTATCTTTATCGGAAATGTAAGCGCGTAAGAAAATATCAGGGACTTTACATTTGTTTGTCGTAACGTTTCGCATATCTCACGGACGTGGAATGACGTGTTTTCCAGAGTAAAATGCGAGATTGAGATCTTGGTATGTTATGAGCTCTTTAATAAACGTAAATGGCGATTAAGCCGGAAATTGGATATCCGTTGAAGCCACTATATCAAATTAATCTGGGAAAGGAAGGTGTTTTTATCCGTGACGTTTAATCCGCTAAATTCCTAAGCCTCGCAATCTCGTGAAACATCGCAGTGCGATAATCACTCCGACGATTAAATTCCCACTAAAGGGGGGCTGCTGAGCCGTTTTACTACAAAGGAGAAACATGTGTTAGAAACGTGTTTTCCTTCGGCTCCGCATCAAGTGCCTCGACGGGTGAGGGGGTGGATCCTCGATGGAGGAGGGGGCGCGTACGTCTGTACGTCAGACGGGACAGGCGAGGGATCGGGGACGATAACTTACGTTCCCAGCAGGTCCTTTAGGATGTACTTGTCCTCGACGGAGGGCGATCGGTCGTCCTTCCCATCCTTCTTGATCTTTTTATTCGTGTCCTTCTTCCCAAAGAGCGGCATCTTGATCTCGTTTCCCTGGATCTCGCGTGTATATAGGTATATGTATGTACAACACAACGTATAATTCTGTAGGCGCGCAACCGTATATATATATATATATCTGTCACAAACGTCACACACTGTGTATTGGGGAGGAAATATCTTACTTATGTTAGGTCCCGCGGTACCTCACATTCGTGGCTCGCCACTAATTAATGCCTGAAGGTGTCCAAAGGAGCGTGTACGACCGATCGGCGATCGGGACGGCCGGATGATCGCGACTCGTCGTCGTCCTCCGGCGCACTGGGAGGAATTACCGCCG